CGGGCGCTGAGCCCCTGCGGCTGCTGCGAGCAGCTGCGCCAAGGCAGTAAGTGCTGCAGGACGGGAGCTGGGATATTCCCCCGGCAACCCAAAACCCCTCACCCCACCACTTGGACCCACATTTCTGCCCCAGGCTGAGATTTTGGGAGAGCAGAAGGGGGCGATTTTTTTCTCAAGAGGGTCCAGACACCTCTGGAAACACTGCGGAGGAGATAAAATGTTCGGGAATGCTGCAGAGGAGATAAAACGTAGAGTGCACAAAGCGGTTTAGCAGCCTTTCCTTTAGCATCCTCCCAACGCAGAGCTGAGAGGACACCCCTGCAGGGTGAGGACAGCCTTTCTGCCTTCCTTCCAGAAACCATCCCCTTTTTAGCAAAATTATACACTGCTGACAAAAACACTAGTTTGCACATAGTCACAGGGATCTGCCCGAGCACCAAGAAAGTCCCCGAGCCCGCCCAGCGTGCACCCATGTGGCACAGCTCAGCCCGTGGTTACAGCCTCGGGATTCTGCTGGGGCCAGGGCTGCATCCCGAGCATCCCCGGTCCCCGCATCCCGAGCATCCCCGGTCCCCGCATCCCCGGTCCCCGCATCCCCGGTGCTGCGCCAGGGCGTTGGAACAATTTAATTAATGCACTGCCCTCCAGCGCTGTGCCAAAATCACTGCCACACGCCCCCGGTGAGCACCAGGACCCTCTTACCTCCAGCTTTGCTACCGAAGGTGGCAACGATACCCAGGACGGGCATCCTGAGCTGGCACCGGTGCCCAGCCGGGCTGCCCCCCCACTCGCCTCCGCAGCTCTGCCAGCAGCACAACCAGCTGGCAAAGCCCCCAAAAAACCCACCCGAAATCCAAACGCTCCCTGTTTCTAAGCCGCAAGAGAAATGCCAGCACGAGCGGGATGCTGGTCCCAAATCCTTGCTGCCACCGCCAGCCTCGCGGTTCATTCCCGGGAAAATCCGAGCAACGCCTGGCAGGACCTGGGGGAGCTGGTTTGCATGGCCCCGGTCAGGTGGGAAACACTTTCCTCGCCTTTTCAAACAGCACTGCAGTCCCACGCTGGAAAAAAACACCAGGGGATGTGAGCAGGACTCCGACGTCCCTTGTGCCCCTTCCTTGGGCAGGGGAAAAGGGAAGGACTGCGGGGCTCTTCCCGGCGGTGAAGAAGACCCTGGCCAGAGCTGCAGCTCGCAGCAGGAGCGCCCTGCAGATGCCATGCCCGTGAGGCTATTTGCTATTCCGGGATGTGGTTTTCTCTCTCTTTTCGGCTAGAAATTCCACCCTGGACTTAAAAAAAACCAAACCAAAACAAAAACTAAACCACCGTTTTGTCGACGGCGTTTGTTTTTGCCAAATAGCTGTTTCCTAAAGCAAAATCCCTCTCTCGCAGCGTTACCTTGCTGCTAACGGCTCCGCGAGCACGGCCTTTCCCCTCCGCTCCAAAAATCATCCAAATTACCGCCCGCGAGCACTTCCACTGCACGAAACCTCTCAGCTGGGAACCACATAGGACCCAAGAGGGCAGGAGATGCCCGAGCATCACCCATGCTCGGGGTGCACCCCGAAGCGTGGCTCACTTACTAGGTGCCGTGGGAGCCAGGGCGGCAGAGGCACCGGCCGGTCTCAAAGTGGCACTGCCCGTTGACGCAGTCGCTGCAGACGAAGGCGCAGTTCTCCCCGTATGTCCCGTTCCGACACTTGGTTTCGCACCTGGGGAGGGATGAGGGCAGGCGGCTGGAGCACCCACAGCTCCTGGATCCCCCTGGCCCTCCTGCCTGCAGGCGGGGAGACGGGGCTGTGCGTTGTCAGCCCCGTTTGGGTGCTGCAAAGCTGCGGACCCGATCCTGGGCACAAGAGCCTGCAGGAAAGCATCCCAGCTTCACAGCTGAGCCCTACTGCGAGCACCCAACGTTACCTGGGGGCATGGGGCAGGGGTCTCGCAGGCTCCCTCTGGTCCCATGGCCATGCCAGCAGGCTCAGCCCACCCCTGCCCTTCCTTCCCGGCTGCAGAAACCCACAGCCACCCCTGGTCCCCCAGCAGGGAGCAGCGGGGAAGCTGGGCATCACCCCGCCGGGGCCCCACCCTGCACCCACCCGCACTCACCGGTCTCCGATCCAGCCTGGGTTGCAATGGGAGCACTTGCCGTTGATGTGGTTGCAGGTGTGGCCGTCCTTGCAGGGGGGACAGAGCTTCTCGCAGCCCTCCCCGTAGAAGCCAGGCGAGCAGGGCTGGTCGCACTTGGTGCCGTTCCAGCCCGCCTCGCAGGTCAGGCAGCGCCCGTCCGCCACGGTGCACGGCCGCAGGCTGT